AGAAATGCAAATATATATATAATATATATAAGTATATATATATATTATATATATATATATATATATATATATATATATATATAATATAATATATATAGTATATATATATATATATATATATATATATATATATATATATATATATATATAATATATATCGAAAAGCAAACCCGACATAAAAACAAACCAAGAACCGTTAGCTCGATCGGTTGAAACACGATTTTAGGGTCAGTCGAACCAAAATCCAGCAACACTGAAGCGACTTAGTTACATGTACATTCTACTTATATTAATATATATATATATATATAATATATAATATAAAAATATATATATATATATATATATATATATATATATAATATATATATATATATATATATAATGTAATATAAAATTATTATATATATAATATAATATATTAATTATATATATATATAAAATAATATATTCATATATGTACGTAACCGATCTCAAATCGATTACAAACATACCCATTCATCCCAGAATAATATCAACCATAATAAAACTCATTTATCATTATTCACAATAATATTATTAAATTTACGGGGTTTTACAACTAAACAACATTATTAGCTGCTTTTTGAAAAAAAATAAGTAGAAGCATCTTTGAAAAAGCAATACCAAACTAGCTCTCAATTTCCTTTAATCTAGAGCATTTAGACCATAATTACCCAATAACCCTGCATTGTCGAAAAACCTTATATCAACAATCAAAACATGCAAGCCCAAAATTACCTATAGTCCCTTTCATCATGTGTGAAATCTAAATCAATTTTCAATTAATCAAACCCTAAATATAGTACAAAGCACCTGATTCCACATAAAAGATTGAATTTTGAACTTTCAATTCATCAGGGGGTCACCCACAATTTGGGTAACGAATTCCCAGATCGAATATGCTTTTACCCTCAATTGATGAGCAATACCTGAAAAGAATACCCTGATAGATTTGATTGCAAAGGCAAAAGGAAGAGTACGAGGAATTTGAGGTTTGTTTACTGCTCACGAGGGAGGGCAGGGGGGGTTGTTCTGCTTCAACAGCCTTCATTTCCTTTTCTTTATGCTTTTGATTTTAACTAGATTTTATACACGTGCAATGCACGTGGTTAAATATCTTGATTAAGTATTTTTAGCTTATTTTTTTACTAAAATTTTTTCATTAGTTCCACTTTAATAGTTTGTGCTCACTTTTGTCTCTAAACTTTTATATCGTGATTTTTATTATGTTTGTTTAAATGTGCTACACCCAATTTAAATTTTTATTTTGATATTTGAATTGATAGTAAACAAATATAATTTGAAGCTAATTTAAATTTTCATATTATTTTAACCAATATGAAACCAAGCTTTACTTGAGAAAATATAGTGTTGCAAAAGTAAAAATATTAAAATAGTATTAGGTGAATTTTTAATACCAATAAAGCAAAATGATTGATTAAAGTATGCTAAAATGATATAAAAGAAATATGAAGTTTGTTCCTAATCATTGATAGACTTCATAAAAAAATTACAAATTAAAGATTAATATTAACTCTAGTATACTTTTATATGATAAAAGTATCCACATAAGCATATAAAAATACTAAAAAAAAGTTCATGAAACTCCCTTATAAAGATTCCTAATTTCACTCAAAATAATTAAACTATTCTATAATATATTTAAGAAAAAATTATCTTTTATTCCTTCTGTTTTATTTTTTATTGAGCTAAGATCAATCATTCTTCACATTTTTCTTTTTCCTGGGCAATTCTAGAGTAGTGGCTTCATCATCTATATCGATTGTGACATCAAGCTAGAATTGTATTTTTTATGTTGTTATCTTTCGTGGGCTCATTAATCTTTTATCTACTTATTTAACTTTTCAAATAAGTCAAATGTATTTTCGATGTTCAACACAAACTACTTAAAATATAGACTTTGATTTTTTAATAAGAATAAATGTTAATTATATATATATATATATAGCGAGAGAGAGAGAGAAGAAAAAAACTTATGTCAACTTAAGTGGATGGTCCACCAAAGTTTCTATCCACTCATATTGCCTAGGGATCCTTGCATGATATGAAAGGACTTTATATATATATATAAATGAGTGGATAGAAACTTTGGTGGACAAAGACTTGGTGTCCACTTAAGTTGACATAAGTTCTACTATATATATATATATATATATATATATGAAATTCTTTGTGATCCTAATTTAGTACTTAAATAAGATTAGAAGCTACCTCTTTTTTTTCCAACAATGAATTCTTCTGATGTGCATCCAATAAGAGTTTATGTTATATCAATAATATTACCTTTGCTCTATCCCTGTTATTTTTCACAAAGATCTAAACTAAATACTTGTATTTTTTATTACCAATTTGCCATAAATTATAATATTAATATTTAATTTCTTTAGTATTTGGAAGACAAAGTATGAAATTTGTGAATACTTACTAATTTTTTTATATCTTCCATGGAGAATTCTTTTTTGATCGGGATAAAGTTGTTAAATTATTTTTTAACGCAACTTAGTCGGTGCTTCTTTAATAGATATGCTTTATGTTAATGCCAATTCAAGTGATTTTTTGACATCTTTTAAATTTTAAATTTATTTTCGTTACTTTCTCATTTGCAATGGAAATAGCTTAATTCTTTTGAAGAGTATTTCTGAACATTCTGATAGTTTCTCTATATGTAATTCATTGTATTCTTTTACCTTATAAATATTATATAACATTAGAAATTAATGTTTCTAAATTATAATTAATTAATGCTAAGGTATTATATTATAATATTTTATTATTTTTGATTTAAATATTTATCAATTAATTTACTAATGTATTTTTCCTGCTCCAACCTATTAGTAAAATTATATGCAGTTACTTTAATTTATATAGTGGTGATAATTTTAAGCTATAATATTTTTTAAATTTTTATTCCTTAGCCGAATGTTTTAATCAATTATTATTGCTTTTGTTTACCGGTATCAAGTTATACTATTTTTAGATGCTGAAAAGGGATCGATAGTAAACCCTAAATTGGAAATTACTCACTCACACACACACACCCACACACACTCTCTCACTCACTCTCTCTCTCTCTCTCTCTCTCTCTCTCTCTCTCTCTCTCTCTCTCACTCACACACACACACACACTCACTCACTCACTCACTCACTCACTCACACACACACACACATCTTAATGAAAAAATACCAACAATGATACTTTTTTTGCCATGTTTTAAAATTTCAGCCCTTTTTATGGTTTTGAACTTTGAGAGTGTGACTTGTAGTTTTTAAAACTTTGGAATAGTTTTTTTTTAAAATTCTTTTAAGTTTGGTAGTTGTAACTTCTATGTTTCATGTGTCGGTGGTAATTTTTAAAAATATCAGGATATTTCTTGCAACTTTAAAATTTTGAGGGTGCTTTTTTGAATTATTAAAACTATAGATTAATTTTGAAAAATTTTAAATTTTCAGCGGTCTACTAATAGTTTCCAGATTTGATGTGTACTTGTTAAAATTTTTGAAAATTTAGAGTTTTTTATGATTTTTAAATTTTGAAGGAGTTTTTTTTACAATTTTTGTAACTTTAAGGTTAATTTCAATAAATTTTAAAATTTTAGGTGTCTAAGGGTAATATCTTGAATTCATATTTTATTATTTGTAAATTTTTAAATTTTAGAATTTTAGAGTGAGTTTTTATAATTTAAACTTTTGAGGTTGTTTCTTTTTGAGATATTGAGGGTGTTAATTGAAAATTTTAAATTCTTCAGAGGCTGCTATTAATTTTTTAATTTTATGTTTGTTGCTTTAAGTTTTAAAATGTTAGAAATTTTTGGGTGCATCATGGTAATCCCTTAAATTCATCTATGTTGTTTACAAGTTATAAAATTTTAGAATTTCAGGATGCTTGTTTGTAAACTTTTGAGAGTGTTTCTATAAATTTTGAGACATTGAGGTGCTAATTGCAAATTTTAAATTCTTCGTAAACTGCTGTTAATTTCTTAATTTCATGTTTGTTATTCTAAGTTTTGAGACATCGCGATGGTTTTTATAATTTTAAACTTTTCAAGATATTTTGTGTAAATTTAAAATTTTTTAGTGGTTTTTTGTAATACTTCATGTATTATAGTATGTGAGCTACGTATAATTTCTTTATCTTAACAAACTAATACCATAAAGATGTTTTATATATTTTATTAATATTACTTTTTAAATTGTTAAGCTATAGATAATTCACGTAGAATTATGATAGGATGTAATTATGATTAGGATAGATTAAGACATAAATGAAATATTCAAAATAGTGAAGGGTAATATTGACCATTGAAAATTTTTTCTGAACTCGTACTTTTAAATGGAGTATGATGGTTAGAGAGACATAAGTTAAAGGTCTTGCTTGTAGTTTTCACTTGGTTATAAGGGTGGCTAGAAAATATATTTTTATTGGTTTTAAAAGATATAAGAAGTAGGGAGTTAGTACATTTAATGAGGCGTAGAGAAATTTCCTCAAACTAAATTCACCGAACTATATTCTAAAACCAAACCAAACCTTAATTTTGAATCGCTTCGATTGGTTTTAATCAGTTCGACCGGATTTATGCCCACCTCTACCTTTAATTCCTCCGCTGCCGAACGTGGCATAGTCGCCCAGTAGTCGCGCAAGACAACCGACCCCTCCCAGAAATTAAACCATGATAGTGACACTTATGCCCTCCCTCCATCCTTTAATTCCCAACCATCCTCAAATCGAACGGTCCAGATTTAAAGTTGAGGAGACCCAACACCCACCCACCCAACCGACACACCGCGGGCCAGATTGGACGCACATGCGACTGACACCGTGCCGCCCGTTCAAGTGGGACCCACTACCGCAACTAGAACCACAGGAACCAGCTAACAAGTTACGGGAGAGTACGTGGGCTCCACTTTTCCAGAACGGGTGTAACGTTGGGTACCGACATGCTAGGTGCGCGTATGCTTTCCAATTTCACGGCCCTTTCGTGCTCTGTAGATCCGAAATAATACAAGAAAAAAATCTAGGGCCTTTTTTTGGCTCGCTCTCGCGATTCTCCTCTCGGTCAGTCTCTCTCCAGTCGTCGGATCTGATCCTAAGGTATGAAACCCTAACCCAAGATCGGTGTTTAGATCTCCTAGATTTTCCTCGTATGCATCTTAATCTAACCCTAGGTTGAGCTCTTGCGTTGTTCTCGTACGAGATTGGATTTTGATCTATGTTATGCGACAAATGTGTGCGATTTATTGTGTTGGACGGAAAAAATTACAGATTTTGGAGCTGATCTAGTGCTTTTCGTACTTACCTGTGGAACTTAATTTTAGGTGTTTACTGATTGGGAGGATTGTGTCTAAAATTGTTGTCGGGAATTTGAACCTTTAACCTGCTTAAAGATACGATGTTGGTACCAAATTAGTTAATTCGTTATACAGAACTCAATATGTGTAGCATTTGAGTTTCATGAGCTCTTGCTTTTGGAGTAATCCTCTTTGCTGCAAAGAGCTGCAAAAAATAACGAAGAGACTGCTACGCTAGTCACGACGCCAAAACATGGTTGCTGTTTGTTCCAAATCTAGCATTAGTACATGGTCGTTATTCATTCCGATTCTAGCATTTCAGCCGGCTGGTTTTGAAATCAGCAGACTGAAAACATGCATCAGCGCTGTTTGTGGGCGCTTCGTACAGCACACATGCAAGGTGTAGCCTCATATACATTCGTTCTTTAACCTTTCAAATGGGTATTATACCTGATAAACCCATATCCTAAAAAGAAAAGTAAACCCTTAGGCATTTTTAGTAGCCTGATTGAGGGCGCTAACCCATTCTCGTTTACTATTTGATTTTGCTTCAATATTATTTTTAATTTGACTTTTGATTTGGAAAATTGTGAACTCCGTTGCTATGTTGGATGTGTTAGCATTGTGAGTTAAAACCTTATTTTGTGATTTGCTAGTAGATGTTATTTATCTTGACATTTTTTTTGTTAAAAGTAATAAACATATACTTTCTTGCTTGATCTATTTCTTGAGAAATTGTGTGTATAATATGCACCTTGCTTCACTCGGTGCACACATCATATTACCCATTGTACATGTGCGTGTAAAGGTACTTTGCTCCTCGCATTGCGCCTTGTGCATTGATAACACTAGGACAACCTATGCATTGTCTAATTTTTTAGCCATAACGTCCTCTGGATGATCTCAAATCACTCTCCCTTTGAAATATTGAAAAGTATGCTCAATCTTTATCAATTGATATATAATTTGAAAGGATCCCATCAATCAAGACATCCAATATCTTTCAAGATCTCTCAAATTTCTAATGCATGTATTGTAGTTTCTTATTAAATGTTAATGGGGGTAACGTAAGAGTTTGAATAGAATTTAAGAATGACTTCATTAATGTTTTACTCTTGAGACTCACAGTGAGATCGACGTTACCAACTCAGTTTCACAGCACAAGAAGATGGTGGAAGATGTGATGGTGTTAAACTAGGAACTGTTCATGGCAAGCCTATGAGGCTCCATTAAAATCCAAATTCTGCTCTTTCCAATGATATAGTGATGTAGGTGCACACATCTAATATCTTTAATTTGGAAAAAGAAAATCAAAAGTCATCTTCGTATTGGTTGGACGATAAGTGCAATCTTGTAAGGTTTAGCTATAACTTCCTCTAGAAAGACTCGACTGGCTCCATTTGAAGCTTTAGAATGAAGACCTAGTTCTTCCAATGATATATAATTTACATGGAATTCAATACTTGTGAATATTCTTGCCAGAAGATGTATCAGACTGGTTATCTATTTTTTGTTTGTGGTTAATTATCTTATTAAATATTTATGAGGTAAACCAGTGAGAGTCAGGTTAATAGGCAAAGAGTCACATGTAATTAATCTTGCACTTTTAAGACTCGTAAGGTGATACCAACTAACATCAGGTTCACATCACAAGCAGATGGTGGAACATAATGTGGAGATGCGATAGTGCTGACCAGTGTGGGTAAAATCGAATTATCCAATAGTTCAGTTATTAATTGTCTAGGTATCTGTTCAATTTTAATTATGAGTTCATTTTAGACGAATCAAATAATTTTTATATTTGGATATTAAATGAACCAAATATAATTGTTCGTATATGTGGTTCATTTGTTTATCAAATATTCATTTAAATGTTTGATCTCTTAGCCTTGTGTTATTACATGTATAGTGTTATGTTTTGATCCTCCTTATATTTCTGTAGTTTATGTTCTATTTTATTTTTGACTTTTGAGACTAGTCTACAATCAATTTCTTAACGAAATTTTCAAATAAAAGATTTATACATCATAATCATAAAGGAATGGTTTCCGCTATAAATTTAAATGCTATTTTAAAAATCAAATTCTTCAGCCAAATAGAAGTCTCTTTAGTCAATAAAAATCTCTTTAGTTATGAGTAAAACATTGAATGTTGTGCATGATATTTAGCTAGTATGAAGATTACACTGTCTTTTACCAAATTAAGATACTAGAACTGTGCACTGCTTCATTTCCATTTTTCAAGCAACACAAACCTGTATCTTCTTCACTATCAAAATTGATAGCTAAACTTTTACTGCAATCACAATTAGCTAACGTGCAGACAGCCTCCATTCATTTCAACCGCCATTCATCAGTTCTAACACATCATATTTGTTGTGATTTTCTCTTATTTCTTTTCTCTTAATGGATTATGTTTATAATAATACTAGCATCAAGCATCTCAAAAAAAAGCCTGCCTTTTTTGATGAATTACCTTTGATCCGCTGGAGTATTCATAACTGGTCATGGAAATACATGTTGGGAGAATGTTATCATCTCACAAAGAACAACCTATGACAAGAACATAAATTGGAACATTTGATTTTAACTAGAATTCCTTGTTGGTTAATTGGAATTCAAATCCATCTATTACAAAAGATTTTAATAAAATGATCATCATTTAGTTAGCAATGATAGCATGATATTCAAAGAAGTGGACTTGGAGTAGGGTAAACCTTTAAAAAAACAGATTGAGAGTCTTGGACATTATGGAATGAGATGGTGATTGTTATTTTTGAAGAGTGGAGGTGGTTGAAACTGAAGGAAGAAACAAATTCCATGTATAAACATCTATACTCTGAAAATTAGGCTCTGTTGTTGTTTGGTATAATTGTGATTAGCTTGTACTTGTCCCATTGTTTCCTTATTCCTGTAATAATGATAACGATAATAATGATATTCAACCTGCAAGCTTCAATTTATATGATTTCTGACTCTAGCTTGGACAATTTTGAAACTGTAACTGATAGCATTGACCTTAGGAGATAATGGGCCGTGGAGTCAGCAGTGGAGGAGGGCAGAGTTCCCTTGGGTACCTTTTTAGTGATGCTGAAGCACCAAAAGCTGCATCTGAGAAACCTGTTGAGAAGCCTGCCCCTCCACCAGAACAAAAGCTTAAGGAGATACCAGCAGGCATTCCAGGGAGTTCGAGAAATAATTATTTCCGAGCTGAAGGCCAGAACACTGGCAATTTCATCACGGTATTTGACCTGACCTTAATTCTGTCCCCCTCTTGTTTTGTCATACGATAAAATATTACTGCATGCTTTGACTTTGGTTCTCAATGGACATCGGATTCATCAAACTACGACTCAATTATTTAGATATGCTTTCTTAAGCATGAACCACAGGAAAAACTTAATCTCCTTTACTGATTTAGTTGTCCTTGAGAGCATATATTCTTCTTTTGATTGTATGCAAGTCCTCCATTTCTCTTTACTCTGAAAATACGTTGCGCATATTTTATTACTAAATATAAATAGCAAACTTAATGTCATGAGTTGATTCACACCCAATTCCTTGCAACCCCCATTTGAAAATGTGTGCATCAGATTATGTGTCACAGTATCACAAGCGTTCTCAAAATGATGTCATTGTTGTTAGGGCTTGTTTGACTGGCGTGTTGTCTCTTAGATGTGGAACGGTCAGCGTGTTCTTGTTTTCATCAGTTGTATCTATTCTTCTTAACCAAAAAAAAAGGGATTTAAAAATGGGGTTTTCACAATATTACAATGAACTTTGGGGGATTTTGTGCAAACTATCATACCTTGTTTATTAGAGATTACTACTATGAACTTTCAAAACTGCAGAAAATATGAACTATTGAAAATTGTTGTTAATGATGGGATAAAAGGTTTAAGCTACTTATCTTATCTATCAAGTCACAAAGCGCACAAGGGTAGTCTAGAAGATACATAAGGTACAGGAGGACAAATTATCATGAAAATGTCGTGTGAAGTACGTGACGGCTTAACCAAAACTGCTGGTCAGTTCATGGTAGTTTGCTTTTTTAGTTTCTGATATATTGTCTACTCTTCTGTAGGACCGACCTTCAACGAAGGTGCACTCTGCCCCTGGAGGTGGTTCCTCCCTTGGCTACCTCTTTGGGGATGGTGGTAAGTGATTGTGATGCTGCTGTGTGGATTGCCCGAGCAATTCTTTTGCGAACCAAGAAAAAAAGAACAAAAAAAAGAAATTATCGTTGTTTTAAGCGTGTTTATGAAAGTAACTGATCAGTTGTGGAAGGAAGAATATCTGATTATATATTACATAGCTTTATGATGTAATTTGCTGGTGGGATGGAGGCTTAAACAGTCATCCTGGATTTGTAGACTGTTGCATTTCCAGTTTCATGTTTCCTTGATCAAGTTTAATCATAACTTGTTTCTTTCTGTATTTTCCCTTGCCCTGTAAATGCAAATATGGTTCCCTATTCTGGTCTTATAAATTCTTTTGTGGTTGCTTCATGCGAGTAGTGAACTTGGTGATTCATGAGGCAATTTTTCACTTGGGGCCTATTTGGATAACAGGAAATCAAAAGTAAGAAGTAGATTAAAGAAGTAATATAAGATTTTTATTGAAATAAGTATAGTAATTTTTGTTTGTTTCACATATGTTCTAAAGTTGTAGTAATATAAGATTTTTATTGAAATAAGTATAGTAATTTTTGTTTGTTTCACATATGTTCTAAAGTTGTATAAATAATATTTCTTCCTTTTTATTTACGTGTTATCTTTATTTACTTGTTTTGTTTGGTTAGTGATTGAAAATGTCATTAAATAGAGAGATTAATGATTTTTCCATATTTTACTTAGAATGAGGGATATTCATGTGAAAAAAACTAATTTTATTTCTAAATGATGCTTATTTAGCTACTTCTGAAGTATTTTCAAGCCTTGAAGGACGGAAGAAAAATTTAAGTAGGATGCCACATATACACCATGTCTTTATTTTCATCAGAAATTGTTTTTCTAGAGAAACATGTAAAATATTTTGCTCTGAAGTAGACGCAGAATCTTTCTCCTATATTTCTGTTATTTTGCATCTACTTGCATGCCAACAAATACACTGTCATTTGTACGTTATATCCGTGTCTGAAATCATTTTGTATGCCCTTGTTGACACTTGTAATCTCTGAGCGGATGAGTAAAGCTTAGATCAAAATTGAAATTACGCAGCATCTTTCTCCATAATCATCGTTCCTAACTGCCACATAAATCTACATTGTAAAAAAAAAAAAAACCTAAAAGATGAGTCTTTTCACTGCCTTAGTGACAAGCACAAAGGAAACAGTTTTTGCACAGTTTAATCTAATTCTACGGTCTGTTCAACTATTAGCCGTTGGTCTCCATGCTAGCCGCTGTAATGCGATTTACAGGCTACAAAAACTTATGTCACTGATCGACTACCAAGGCTGTAAGTAAGTAAGTGAAAAATACCTTGACAGAGAAGGGAATGACACTAGATTAACAGTATTCATATTTGTGTTCAGGTATATATGTTTGTTATATTTGTTATATTTGTTATATTTGAAAAGTTAGCTCGTGCGATGCAATTAAGAGAGTTCATTAATATGTTTGTTACATTTGAAAAGCAAGGATTGGATCTATTGGTCATCAAAATTAGTCTCCAATTGATTAATCTAAGTAGGTCTAATGATATGGTTAAGTTTTGCATGAGTAGGTCTAATAATATGGTCTAAATATTTGAGAGCACGGATCACAATAACTGCAGATTATATGTAAAATCTATCAAATTACATATCACTAGAAATTCAGTATATTCACTAGCAATTTGGAAGTACCATAATCATGTCTTTCTTCTATTGCTTCCAGTTAAATAGTCTTCCAGTGAAATGTTACTATGGCTGACAAAGAACAGCAGTCGTAGTTAAACTGGTCAAATCCGTAACTATAATTCCAATAGGTGATGCTACTGACACTGATTCCTTTGAACGAGGAGCAGCAATTTTCTCCAGATATGGGCTTTTAGTTTCCTGAGACATGATCTGTGCAGTGTTCGTTAAAGATTGGTGCTCACTCAGTTTACTGCCTTGACAGTCTGTTACCATTGTTCTCCTAATATCATGGAGCAAAAATATCTCATGATAGATTCTCTGAAGCAGACAAGGGGAAGGTAGAGGACATTACTTTGTTAGGGTAAGTGTGACCATCTTCATTGCAGATTGAGGTGGAAGAGAACAGCACACAAACGGAACAATTTACCATTCACCATTGTTTCTGTTGAGTAGCTATGTTGATTTTCTTCTACAATTATAGCTTCAAATGGTACCTCTCCAGTTGATCAGGAATCACCTGAGACAGCACCAGCTACACAACCAGGATATTTAACATGATGAATGTAATTAGGTGCTTTCAAAATCCCTAGGATATATCATCTGTAGAGCTTATTCATAGAAATTTCAAATAACTCCCTAATGATAGATAAAAAGAATGAGATCTCAAGGATGACTGGTGAATGCTTGGTGAACATCAGGGTGTAAAATAATCAATGTGTCTCGCTTTTCTCTGGTTGTGAAACATGACAACAAATGATCAAAATACATTTAAACATCATTAAATAATATTGCGCTACATGTCTAGCGTGACATAGAGGGAAGAGGAGAACAAGCACGTGTAGGCAGGATTGCCACCTTTTTGGAATTTGATGAACATAAAACTATTCGAAGAATTAAAATCTATCGAAGAAAGGACTTATTTTTAAGGACAATAACCGACGCTAAATTAGAAATACAATGAGATAGTCAGTTAGGGGCAGTGTTATCGAGGCGCAAGGCGCAAGGCGCAATGCGGGGCGCAAAGGTCCCTTACGCGTACCATGCGCAAGGCGCACAACGAGGCGCGCGCCTCACTTAATTGAGGCGCATAACTCAAACTAATATTTTCCAACATAAGATAAAGAAGCATATAAGCAACATTTTTATAAATTATCACATAAAAAGACTAAGAAATATAATTTCACCTACTAAATCAAGAAAGAGTCTTAATTAGCATGCATAACATAAAGAAGTTCATATGTTTCCACACATCACAATGTACGATAATATCCAACACGAGCAAAAGTCTACGAAATAAAATAAGCAAGTAGCAAAATAACAAAGTTTCTAGTCATCCTCATCATCATCATCATCATCATCATCCAACTGAAGTGGCTCCTCATCCTCAGTTTCCTCCTCTTCTTCATTAAACTCATCTTCATCCTCCGAGTCCGGCTCCCTCCTCCTAGATGACGAAGCAATACCACTTGAAGATCCTCGAACCCTAGCAGTAGCAGTAGACCTTAAATTTGGTCCCCAATTTTCTTCAACTCCCGTTGCTTCACCTACAACACCCCATCTAAGGTCATCCTCCTCATCCACCAAGTCATTTTCCGCATTGTCGCCCTCTCCAAATTGACCTAATAACCACTCGTTGCTTTCATCTATATCAGTCAACTTGATTGGATCAACAATATCCCTGCAGTCAAATCTTTCCTTCAAAGCTTGATTATATTTGCAAAATACTAGATCTTGCAACCTATTGTGATCCAACATATTCCTCTTCTTGGTGTGTATCTGCAACACATATAAAGTTAAATAATCAAATTAGTACTCAAAATCCTTAATTCTTTAAGCATACGTTTATTCAATTAGATGAAATTAAACATACTTGTTCAAAAGTACTCCAGTTTCTTTCACACCCAGAGGAGCTACAAGTGAGACTAAGGATCCTTATAGCAAGTTTCTGCAGAATCGGAGCTGCTGCACCGTAAGAATCCCACCAATCAGCTGTCAAGATACACAAAGTAATTAATACGAGTATACAATATGTTATTAATTTATTTAACTAAAAAGTATGTGTACATAACTAATTGACATATTTACCCAAAGATTTCTTTTCTCGGTTTCTAATAGCTATAGGCATGCCAAATAGATCCTGTGCTTCTTTGTATAAAGTCAACTCTTGAGAAATTTTATCTTGATCCTGTTCGGGCACAAGCTTTTGAATGACTTCCCAGAGGCCTTTCATGATCTCCTTATCGGCTTGAATGTTAGGGTGGGCATAGAAAAAAAATTGGATTAAGGTAAAACCCTGCAGCATGCAAATGATGATGTAACTGAACATTCCATCTCTTATCAATCATCTCAAATACCTCCGAATATTTGCTTGCATCATCACCAAAGGCTTTTGCAATAGCCTCTTTGGCTCTATCCATAGCCTCATAAATAAACCCCATGGTCGGCTTCCTCTTGTTATCAACAAGCTTCAAAACACGAACAAGAGGGCCCGTGAGCTTGAGAACACGAACAACATTATTCCAAAAGTTAGTCATTTTAACTGTCCTCTCCGCCGCTTTGCCCTTTGGATCTCTTGCCCACTTGCTTTCCACCCACTTTTCAGAGCAAAACATCTTCCTTAGATTATTCTTCTGCTTATGGATGCTTGATAAAGTCAAAAATGAAGTGGCAAACCGCGTCGCCGCCGGTCTAAGAAGCTCTCGAGCATTGATTTGCTCTCTCATCAACCTCAAAACCCAACCATGTGAATAAATGAAACCCGTCAACTCCATAGCACGACTCAAGGTCATCTTCACGAACGGTAGTTTTCCGATATCCTTAAGTATGAGATTGAGACAATGAGCAGCACACGGTGTCCAATACATATGAGGATATTCATCCATCAAGTATTTACCTAGAACCAATAAACAAACATCTCATTAGTATTCAATCATTCAATTTTAAAGAAATTAGAAAGCACATCAATCAATATCAAAAAAATTAAATCAAATTTAAAATTCCATACCGGCTAATTTGAGACTAGCATGATTATCCGTTACAATTTGCACAACATTCTCTGGCCCTATCTTCTTAATCTCCTCATTTAAGATCTCAAACATCCTCGCACCAATCTTGATCTCATCGGAAGCATCAATAGAGGAAAGGAATACCGTTCCGCGAGGAGAGTTCACAAGGAAATTTATCAAAGTCCTTTCCTTCCGATCAGTCCAACCATCCGACATAAAAGAGCATCCTTTTTTGGCCCAAACCTCCTTATGAGGTTGCATGAGATCTTCAGTGTACTTCTTCTCCTTCTTAAGCAATGGCTCTCGTAATTGATGGAATGTTAGAGGTGGCAAGTTAGGCCCAAAAGCCCCCACTGACTTCAACATAATTCTAAAGGACCTAAGTTGTACGGCATTAAAAGGAATTCCCGCTTGATACCACCAACGGGCAATATCTTGATGCACTTTAGCAACTGCGTCTTTGTTGAGGCCTTCTTCAATGCTTGTTTGCCGTAATTTTCGCCTTCTATCATCTTTGGCTACCTCCAGTTCCGGGTCAAATGAGAGAAACGAATCCATAGGCCCCTTTCTCTTTGTTGAAGATCCAACACTTCCCCTTCCTCTTGTAGCTAAGGAAGATGAATTAGGAGTAGAAGTCAATACACCCTTTCCCTTGTTCCTAGTTGCTTGTGCTTGTTCTTCAACCTCGTCAACTTCATCTATTTCAACCATGTCATCATCTTCAAGATCCGGCATGTAATTCTCCACTGCTTGTTGTCTTCTAATAATTGCTTGTTTTTTGTCATATTCCTTAAGCTTATCAACCACATTCGAAGGAACTTTATTGCAAAGGGAAACATTTTTACGTTTCCTCGTCGTTCCAATAAGATGCTCTTTTTGCCTTGATATGCCGCCATTGGTGATCTTATTACAATAAATACACTTGTGCTTGTTGGAATTCCCTTCCTCAACTAGAGAAGTGTACTTCCAAGTCGGATCTTGTCTTCTACCTTTATTCGCACTCACTGATGTCGATGAAGACATACTCAACAAGTTTATTAGTCACCTACACCCAAAATTATAAGAATAGCAACTTAAATCATCAAATTATGTTAACTAAAATTTTAAAGTAACAAATAAGATACAAGAAATATGTGTTTTAATTAAAAATAAAATATGTTTTTAAGTAACAATTAAGTGATTAACAATTAAATATTTACACGTTCATAATTTATTAGTTAGCATGCTAATTACCTATTTTAAGCTCTTTTTTCTAATTATACTAATTTCTAAGTTGTTGACTTGTTGTTGCTAACTTGCTAATTGACTTTGTTTTTCTTTTTTACAGATTATACTTGAGAGTTAAGTAGCAACGAGCAAGGATGAAAGATCAATCAAATTTCCCAACACATCTACCAAAATAAATATGCATAATTCATTCATTGAATATGTAATTTGTATATTCATATTGTATAATTTGTATTCCTATTTTCTAATGAGATCTTCATATGTAAATGTAGCAGTTAATTGAACATCAACAGTTAATTGAACAGCAGCACTGCATCAGTTAATTGAACAGCAGAAAAAGAAAAAATTAAATCTAACCCAAAGCTAACCAATTAATGGGAAAAAACCGAAAAAACCGAAAAAACAGACAAAGTAAATAAAAAACAAAAATAAATACAAAAACAAAAAAAAACAAAAAAAAACGACTGCAACATTATGTTAGCGGCGAACAAAAGGAAAAAAAAGCCCAAAAAAACCGCGTCGGAAAAAAACAAGAAAAGGAACAAAAGAAAAAAAAACAAATACAAAACCGACGGAAGAAAACAAGAAAAGAGAGCAAGGGAGGAGAACGTCTTAAGAAAAAAAAATCGAAGAAAAAAAACGAACTGAAAAAATTAAAATTACCTGCTTCGACGGCTGCGGTGGAGTTGGAGACGGCGTCAGGCGGGATCGGCGACGGCGTCAGGCGGGATCGGCGACGGCGTCAGGCGGGATCGGCGACGGCGTCAGGCGGGATCGGCGACGGCGTCAGGCGGGATCGGCGACGGCGTCAGGCGGGATCGGCGACGGCCCGAACCACATCGCGCCTGGGGCGCGCCCCAGGCGCGCGCCTCAATAACACTAGGTTTGTACCAGTTTGAGACAAAAGTCAATCATGAGAATAAAATCCATTGCTGAATTGTTCCTTGGGATAAGTCATGTGACCCGTCTGATGCTTAAAGAATATTAATCCGTTATATAAAGAAGAACTTAAGGTTATTGAAAAATAGCATCAGTATAACTTTGCCCGATCCATCATTTTTGTCCTCCCCAGTTCCTTGCTGCACAAGGGAATAGCATTCTAACAAATAGAGAGTAATTATGAACAAATTAAGAAAATCGCTGACCAGGTACTAGAGATTTTAGAACTTATTCTGGATTTCTTTTTTTGCAGGGTAAATTTACATATGTACCCCCATATGTTTCACGAATTTACAAATACTGGCCTTGTAGGCCTTTTTTACATATGTACCCCATATGTTTCACGAATTTACGAAGACTGGTCTTGTAGGCCTTTTTTGGTCTATCCTAAATATTTATCAAAGTTCCCTGCTATGAAAAAAGGGTATATTTCAAGTTCGGCTGTTTCTGAGATAACCGCCCATTAACTATTCTAATAGGTACAAAACTCCCTTAACTTTGAGGGGTTTTTCACATTACCCGGGACTTGGTTTATCCCACTAAACCCATTCAAGACCGTTAACTTTAACCCCCTAAATTAACACCTTCAAATCTAACTTGTCACGTTCCAAGCGCACAACGGAAAGGGAAAGTCACCACTCGGACCTTTAAAAATGGAAATTATAAAAAGAATAAAAGGGTAATTTATTGAGTTCCGAGGGATGTTTTATTCCTTCTTGATCATGTGCTTAAGCATGTGACTTCATGGTGTTACTTTGAGGAATTAAAGTGAAAAATCTTCAAGGAGTTCATGGAAACAGAAGAAGTTAGCAGGGGTTATATGAAAAAACAGTTCAAAGTTGGGGGGTTTAGTTTATACCTATTAAAATAGCTAACAAGGGTTATCGCAAAAAGGGTCGACTTAAGATGGGGTTTTATGTAATTTACCCTAAAATGTCATGTGATTCGACCCTGGGGTAAAGGCTTATTGATGGAGTAGTGATGATGCCTATTCCTCACATAAACAAATCGATAAAACTTTTTGGCTCGTGGCCGCCCAACTCGCGGGCAGCTCGCAAGAGCCAAAACAGGGGGTGGGGCCCCACCCCCTGTTTTGGCTCTTGCGAGCTCCCCGCGAGTTGGGCGGCCGCGAGCCAAACAAATCATCATGAATATATTGCATGTGTTCTTCTAGTTGATATGTCTATTTGGTTAGTTTCTTTTACCTATGCAACCTTTAGGTATCATTATTTGAAAAAAAAAACTTGATTATTAACCTCCACAGTAAGTGTTCAAGGAGATCCTTGTTCTATTCGATTTTAAAAGTGTAAACTGCTTAGCATTGTTCTCCATTCACGGTGTGGTGGCGTATGCTATTATTCTGTTACAACTTCTAAAGATCAGTATGATGCAGGTATTCCGCAGGATGTAGTGAGGATTCCGTCACAAGTTTTGCTAAAGCTACAGTTACTGCCTATGGTCACTCTTAATTGTAGAAAATATAGAGCTACGGTCTGTACAAGTTACTACGAGAATGGTCAAAATTAAATATTCAAGGATATACAATATTATCTGCAAGCTCAATATATATATGTTTGGTATGTATAATACAATTGCACTGTTGCTTAGCAGGTGACGCAGCGCGGAAGTGATAACAACCCAAATTAGGCGTCCTACATCAGCAGGTCAGGCCTTCAAATATGCAATTCTTAGTTGGTTGCTGACTCCATTCCTTAGGCCAGGTTAGGGCTCTGACACACATCTTCATCAATCTTACCATCTTGATAAATAATTGATCTATATAGTTATTCCAAGTGATTTCTTGACCATTAATACGTGAAATTGAATCGTCCCTTCTTAGAAGACACTAAGGCCCCGTTTGGCAAAGGGTTAATGAAGAGGGGTTAAAGAGAAGGATTAATGTACTTAGCCCGTTTGATAATCCGAAGGACTAAATTATTAACCCGTTAAATAAGTTTTATTTTAGCCCTTATGATCAGTTTTAGTGTTTGGGAATAACATGTTCCATTTTCTTTCTACTAACTCTAAAGCCTCACATTCCAGAATTTCTCTCAACCATTTAAGCTTAAAAAGTATTTCCTACCTATCTCATGAATCTGTATGATCATCGTATTTTATTACACATTTATACCCTCATTATCTATTTTATTTTGAATAAAATATTTTCTAATAAGTGTTTTTAACTTAATAAATCTGATAATGCACGTGTTTTGCACGTGGACATTTCTTGTATTTAGTATTATATTGTATAATAAATTATATATAAACATTTTACAAAGATATTTTATTACACCATGATTAAAAGATTTAAGTTATTCTATTATTAGTACTTATACTATTATTAACATACATTTAATAGTTATTTAAATTTGCTATTTAAGTTATTCTATTATTAGTACTTATACTATTATTAACATACATTTAATAGTTATTTAAATTTG